GAGCTCACCCAGATGTACCAGCGAGGGGAGGGGGGATCCCGGCTCCCGCTCCCCACTCACATCTGACTTTAATTTCGGGAGGCGGGCGCCGGGCCGGGCGCTACCTGCGGGCGGGGCAGCGGCACCGAGCGGCGCCCGGGGAGGGCCCGGCTCCCGGGGGGGTCGGGGGCGAACGCCGCCAGCCCTGCCCGCCGCGGAGGGGGCCCGGCCCCGCGCTGTCCCCGCCGGGGTTTCCTGCCCGGCGCCGCCGCTTTGAAATGGTAACGCCATGTAAATAGCTGCGAGGGGCAGGCGCGGCGCCGGGGCTCCGGGCTCCCGTTACAGTGCCGGCGGCGGGGCCGCCCCCTCCGCTCCCTGCCGCCGGCCTGTCCGGGCCTGCCCGCCCGCCGCCGCGCTGCCGCCCCTGCCCCGGGCTGCGGGCGCTGGCTCCGCGCCCCCCCCGCTACTACGCCCGCCAAGATCGGGCCGAGCGGCCGCCCCCGTTACCATCACCCCTCCTCCGCCGCCATCCCGTCGCTCCCGGTTACCGGTACGCTTCTCCACGCTGCCCCCGCAGCCGCGCGCCCCCGCTCGCCTCCCACACGCTGCCGCCCACCCCCCACCCTCACGGCTCCCCGCAGTCATAGGGAGCCCCCACCCCACCGAGCGCCTCCGGTAACCGGGGCTGCCCCACTCTTCCGCTCCTCCCTCCGGGCCCACGGTACCGCGGCCCCGCGCCGCCCCCGCCTCCGGAGCCGCCCCCGAGGGCACCCCCGCCCCCGGCGGGCGGCCTCCGCCCCTCTGTCCGTCCTCCGTCCGCCCTCCGCTCTCCCCCCGCCGCCCCCGCGGGACCGAAGCGACGCGCGCGGCGTGGCCCATCCGGAGCCCGGGAGGCGGCGGTAACGACTCGGCCGCGCCCGGGTCCGGGACCCACCTGCGGGGGCGGCACGGGCCGGGCCGGGTCCGGCGGGCGGAGCGGGTGCGGTGGGGCGGCGGAGCGCGCCCGGGCCGCGGTGCCGATGGGGGGTGCGCGCCGCTCGCCTCGCTGCTGCCGCCGCTGCCTCCCCCGCACGGCCGCCGGAACCGGAACCGCCGCCACCGCCCACACACTTCCGGGCACGCTCCCACGCACTTCCGCTTCCGGCCGGAGCGGGCGCGCGCACGCACAGCGCCACTCCGCCTCATTCCCGCCCCGCGCCGCGACGGGTGGCGGTGGGGGACAATAGAGAGCGAAAAGCGAAGTGCTTCGCGGGGGGTCTCGATGCGTTCACCCCCTCCCCACAGCCCTTCCATGCGCACGGACACTCTTTCCTCTTCTCTGCCTTTATTGGGGCCGTGCACAGCCCGGGGCCGCGGGGAGCACCGCCAGGCCCGTGTTCTATGGGGAGGAAGGGGAAAGATCACGGGGAAATAAAGCAAGATGGGGGCAGGGTGTCCGGCTGTCCATCCGTCCGTCCGTCCGTCCATCGTCGCTCAGGCTTGTGGCCACGCTGTGCCATCCCCACCGCTCCCCAGCTCACTGTAGATGGTTCTGCTGGGACCCTTGAGGGGATGTGGGAATGGCCCAGGGTCGGGGGGGGTGGCTCAGTGGGGACGTTGCCATCCCCACCCCCTGTTTAGTGCTGGGTCACTGCCCCACCTGCTCGTCCCTGTCCTCGACATCTCTCCTTTGCACCTGGGAGTACAGCAGCTCCTCGGGGCAGGCGGCAGCTGTGCAGCAGGTGAGGCCATGAGGGATGGGGACGGCCCCCTGCCGCCTGCTTGCAGCCCCCCAGGCTGCAGCCTTCACCCCACAGCATCGCCCACCTCTGTCAGCCTTTCTCCTCCTCTTCAGCAGGTACAGCGCGATGCTCAAGGCTCCCACAACGCCCACCAGCACTGCCAGGTAGATGGGCCACCTCCACCTGTGTGCCTCTATGGGGACAAGGTATTGGGATGGCTGGCTGTCTCTGTGCACCTGGTGTGGCACAGGGGGACAGTGAGAGACTTTACCTTGTGCACACAGTTCTGCCAGGTCCACGGACTTGCTCCGCTCCTGTGCCGGGTTCCAGGCCACACAGGTGTAGATGACATTCAGGGCGCTGGCAGGGACAGTCAGGTGCAACACATGACTGTTGTCACTCTGTATCCAAGTTGCACTGGAGGTGTTGTCGTGCTGCCAGGTGGTCTGAGCACCACTTCCAGCCGGCACCAAGCACCGCAGGATGATGCTGCAGTCCTGGGCAGTGTAGGACAGCATCTCATGCTGGATCAGGGGCACTGGCACAGGCTCTGTTGGGAGTGTGGGCAGTGCTGCTGGGACAGAGCTACCTGCAGGAACCTGGGGAATGCAGCCTCAAGGAACCGGGAGGGACAGGCAGACAAAGGGCAGGGAGAGGGAAGTGCAGGTGGAGAGCAGATTTGTCATAAAGCTAGAAAATCCCCTTAGCAGATGACCGGCAGCAGAGTGCGTCCGGGAAAGGGGAAGGGAAATCGCTGATAACTCTCGGTACAAAAGGGTTTCTCACTTTTCCCTGGGGGCAGGAAACCCCAGGGATGGGGATGCTGTTCCTGCCCCCACAAAACCCCTTCAGCTCACCGTAGACAGTGAGGTTGAAGGCGCTTTCATCCATCTCGTTTGACTGATACGTGATGCGTGCATCATAGACCCCAGTGTCACTCTGCTCCAGGGCACTGATCTGCAGTGTTGTCTTATTGAACAACTCCAGCCGCTGCCTATTGTACTTGAAATGCTTGGACGTCTCCAGGTTGTACTCAGCCACTTCTATTTTCTTGCTGGCATTGGCTCTGAAGCTCCAGATGATCCTCTTCACACTGCTGCCAGGCTGCAGCTGCAGAGGGAGCTGCACCGAGTGCCCCAGCACACCGCTCACTGGCTCGATCTGGACAGCTGCAGTGCCTGGTAGGACAGCAGTGCTCAGTGGGATGAAGAGTCCCAGGCACCCTCCTGGGTTCTTTAACCTTCACCATCACCTCCCCTGCCTGTGGCTGGGCACTGCTGTGCTGATGCCGCGTGCTCGCAGTGCTGCGGTGTCCTCGCACCACCCTGTCCCCATTGCGGAGCTGGAGGTGGAGCAGGCTTAAGGGTGAAGCCCATAATAATTCCCTCCAGAGACCCTTCAAAGCTGGAGGCTGAGCTGCAGGGTGCAGCGGCGCTGGGTGCAGAGCTCCGTTCCCAGCCCTGTGGCGAGACACAGAGCTCCTGTGACGTGAGCAGGAGGCGGCTTTCACACACAAAAAGCTGCAGAGAGGCGACCATGCTGGGGAACGCTGTGTCCCCACATCACAAGGCCCATCCTGCATCAGCCACTCGCTTCCTGCCCACACTCAGGGCCAGCCACACAGTTCCCATCCACTGCACCAAGCTCCAGTTTGCAGAGAGGAAAGCAAAGCTGCAGCGGTCAGCAAGCAGACAGCAAACTGCGGTGGGGAGTCACAGCCCCATGGCAGCCACACATCTCCATTTTTTGGGGGGGGATACTGACATAAAGCAGGAACACATCCCCATGAATCACCCGTGGTGGCACTGAGCCACCTGCCCGTATTTTGCCCCAAACAAATGCCCCACACCAGTGTGCAGTGCAAACACAGCCTCTGCAATTCTAAGCTCAATCCTGCTGCGGGAAGCTCATGGGTGTTGCCTGCTCATTCCTTCCCTTTCCCCATCCCTTTCCTTGTCCCCAAACCCTCACCCTGGAGTCTTCTGACTGGTGGGGGCTGCAACCACTCATTGGAGAACAGTGGGTGCCTGGCTTTGTCCTGGTGCAGCCCCAGCAGCACTGAGTAGCTTTTGTACAGCAGAGCATCTGCTCGAGAGCTTCGAGCTGTGCAAGACGACCCCTGTGGGCTCTTAGAAACATGTGGGTGAGCGGAGTCCAGCACAAAAGCCAGCAATTTTCAAGCCAACATGGAGCAGGGCAAGGTGCAAATGGTCCCACCTGGTTCCAGCCCCACTGCTGACATCAAACTTCTCCAGGTGTGATTTATGCTGTCAGTAAATAGAGTCGGGTGATGCCGTGCCTGGTGCCAAGTTCTGCCTGTGTTGCCTCGCCCAGGGATCACATCCACACATCCCCAGTCAGATTCCCTTGAGAACAGCGCTTGGACTCTTTTACAGAGGAAAACCCATCTCCCACCCCTCTGATTTCCCAAATATTTTCAAACCTTCGCCGAACCCAAAGGCTGAATCTCATTCAGCCTCACACCCATGGTTTCATTGGGTTCCCACAGCAGCAGCATTGCTGCTGAGCCTTCCTCCCACCTTCAGCTCTCTCCCCACCCCGTCCACGCTCAGCCCCTACCTGTGGCAACAAGTAGCAGAGCCAGCAGCCTGGGGATGAAGGGACACCATCGTCGGCCGCACAGTTGCCCCATCTCTCCATCCCCAACTCGAGGCAGCAGCAGCTTCAGCTGCGCAAGCAGTGCGGAGGACACATGCAAATCTGCCCACAGGTTCACGGGGAGTGGCAGCTTGGGGACAACGCGAGACCCTGCTCAGCCTCACTGCAGCTCTGCAACGTATCCAGGGCTACTGGGGCAATAAATGAGGGATGGAGCCCGGATGCTGCCGCAGTTGGGTAAATAACAAACAGCTGGGCTGGCTGTGCCAGACACCTGGCGCAAGGAGCACATGTTCCCATTGCCTGAGACTGCACCAAGAGAATGCTCCCACCCCACCAGGCTGTTTTCCCCCCTGCTTTTCTTGAAACAAAAAGCCCAGCAGCAAAGAGGCAGAGACATAAGAACGTTGGAGACAGCCCCACGCCTGCAGGGGGACGGAGGATTTGGAGAAGCACGAGGGGTTGGGACGGTGCAGAGCCACTCACCGCTGCTGCTTCTGTGTTTCCAAAAGGGGGAAGCAAGAAGTGGCTTCTGGGGAAGGCAGCAGCAAACTGCGCACAGCCCTGGGATGACGTGACTGCGAGGGGTCCCACATGTGGGTGTGCGCAGCAGATGCACAGTCCCACACACACAGCCCCACACACGGCCCCACGCATGCTGTCAGCTCCCTGCTACGCTCTCACCAAGATTTATTTGCTGTTTTTACGACGTGGGGAGGTCGGGCCGAGCACGGGGCCCATGACAGTAGTAGGTGCTGGACACACACAAGTGAAACTTCCCCCCTCCCTCTCCCCCCCCCCATTAATGGCAGCACATAGGCGACACAGGAATGGCTATGGGGTGGGGGAAGAGCGGGCACATCTCCCACAGGCATTGGTCCCCTCACATGGCCCTGGAGATGTCACAACCAGGGTCTGCCCAACCTCAGGAGAGGGGGTTGGGAGCAGTGGGGGTGAGGGAGCAAGCTGCCCAAGGTGGTGCCATCCTGGATCTGCAGTGCATGGATCTGCCCCCGTCCACCCAACTTTGCCTCCACTTGACCCCAATTCCTCCCTCCACCCCCAAAAAATAAAGATTTTGGTTCCTCTCTTCTTGCTCCAGGGCAGCCCACTCTCTCAGCTGGCAGAAATGGGGCTGGGACCCCCAGCTGTGTGGGTGATGGAGCCACATCCCAGCCCTGTGCCAGAGGAGGGACTCAGCCTCATCGTCGCCGCTCATCTCCATGTCCCCAGAGGGGCCACGATGGCTTCGGACAGAGGGTTGGACAAACCAGAGGTGGGTGGGGAAGCATCCGGTTGGCTGTACCCAGAGATGGCACCTCCATCCCTGAAGCCAAACCAGGGGCTGGAGAGGGGTCGGGTTTGGCACACAATGCACGTTACAGCCCTTCAGTTACATCCTGATGCTCCAGCGCTGTCGGCGCCTGTGGGGAGAGAAATCCTTCAGCTGGGACCGAGGGCTGCCCTGTCTGTCCGTCTGTCTGTCTGTCCGTCTGTCTGTCTGTCCGTGCATCTCCCTGCAGACAGCACTCGTCCCTTCTCTCCCCTTTCTCCACCATACCCGGACCTGGCGTGGGCACGTCATGCAGTGACAAAGGTGGGGACTGCCCTCCATGCCCCGGTCCCCCCGGGGGCAGACACGGCCACGGGCCACCCGCACCTGAGGGCCTATGTCACCTCCTCGGCCGTGTCCTCTGGCTCCTGGTGGATCTGTTCATACACGGTGCTGCCCGGTGCTTTCTCTGTCGAGGTCGGCTCTGGGTTGTTTTCAGGTGGACGTAGGCCCTAAGGCAGAATCAAAGTGCTTATGGCCCTTCCAACCCCGATGTGATGGGGACCCCAATGCAATGGGGACCCCTGAGCACAGCCCAGCCCCACTGCTCCTCACCTGGTCATTACCTTCCGGGGGGCTGCGGTGCACGATCTCGGTGTATTGAGGTTCTGGGGGGCTCTCCTCTGCCGGTGCTGTGGGGGTGGCAGCTGCAGAGAGCAGGACGTCATGAAGGGGGGGAGGGCCAGAAATGGTCCTGATCACAGCTCAGCTCTGAGTGCTTTCACTGACCTGGATCTGCTGACTTCTCGCTGTTGAGCCGCCAGCACCAGAAGGCTCCGCCAAGGCTGACAGCCAGCAGGATGAGGGTGAGGACGATGTACCCCGACTTGGAGAAGGACACCTGTCCTCCTGGAGCACACAGAAAAGGGCTGAACCAGGGGATGGCCACGGAACCTTCACCCAACTTGAGGGCACCCAAGGGTGCTCGGACCCCTAAAACAGGCCGGCTCCTCACCTCCACTGCGGCAGATGCTCTGCAGGTCGAAAGGGACGACCTTCTGGTCAGCAGGGTTGCTGACAGTGCACGTGTAGGTGGCATTGGCGGTGCCAGGCTGCAGGGCCAGGCGCAGCGTGGTGCCATCCGGGGACAGCTGTGAGCGGTCGGTGCCCAGCTCCTGTCGGCCGTTGTCCCTCCTCCAGGTGACGTTGACGGCCCCTTTGCCAGTGCCCTGACACTGCAAGGTCAGGTTGCACCACTCCAGGGTGCTGGCCAGCAGTTGGCTGTGGGTCCGGGGTCTCGGCACCGACTCTGCACCCAACAGGGAATGGGTCAGCATGGCACGGCTCTGCTCAGACACATCACACTGTCCTGCATCACGGGGCAGGGCACAGCCAGCCCGCAGGTGATTGGGGTGATGTGAGAAGGGACCCCGATATGGGGGGCTTGGGAGGCCGAGCATGGAATGTGAAAGGTTAGGGTCTAACCTAAGTCACCTCCTTCTTCTGCACCACAGTTTCCCCATTTTAGTGTTCCCAAAGCCCACCCCCATTTGGCAGCCGCTCACCGTAGACAGAGAGGTTGAAGGATTGGTCCTCCACCAGCGCCGGGTGCAGTTTGATCCGTGCCCCATAGACCCCGCTGTCTCCCAGCTCCAGGGCCCCGATCCTCAGCGCTGTGGCGTTGGGCATTTCCAGGCGCTGCTTGAAACGGTCCTGGGGGTCAGGGCGCTCGAAGCCCCCTGGGCCAAATTCAGCCACCTGGATGGTGGCACCGGCACCAGAGGAGAAGCTCCACTCGATCTCCTTCACTCTGCTGCCAGGGGGCAGCACCGGGGAGAGCAGCACCGAGCCCCCCAGGACACCAGACACTTGCTGGGGCTGCGCCCGCACCTGGCCGAACAGGAGCTCTGGGGACAACAAGGCAGAACGTCACCAGGGTGCTGGGTACAGCGTGGGGATGGGCTGAAGGATCCCTGGGGACGGGTCCCACCCGGCACCGCTGTCCAAGCTGGAGGAAGAGGATGAGGAAGAGGAAGCATCGCCCTGCCCGGTTGCAGACACATCTGCTCTCTGCCCACCGCAATGTCCCTCTGCGGGATGGGGACACTACGGAGGCCGTGCGGAGCTGCTGCTAGCGGGGAAGGGAAGTTGCCAGGGTCGAGAGCTGCTGTCCAACAAGAGCTACGTGTTCGGATGCCGAAGCTGCATCTGAACGGCGCGGTTTAGGCACTGCGGCAGGGCGCTCACCGGAACAATGCTCCAACAGACTCTGCGAGGAGTTCCCCGCCAGCATCTGCAAAACCTCATTGTCCGCCTTAAAACGCGCCTCGGCCCAGATGCCTACGAAAAGATCACAACAGTTACAGCAGCAGGACTGGAGCGGACCAGGATGGATCTGGCTCCAGAGGGATGCTCGTGGGCACGTACCAGTCCTGCATCCCACTGCCGCGTGTGGGTGAGCGTGGGGACAGGGAGGGGGGAGACCGTGGGTACCCAGGAGGGATGGAGCCACCTCCAGGACTTCGGGCTGAGCCTACACTGTGGATTTTTGGCAGTGCTCTGCAGTCACGCTCAGCACCAGCTCCTGGCACCGGCAGCTCCCGCCTACCTACAAGCTGTCTCCTCCACCGCCTCCAGCTCTGCCGGCAAGAGAGGGCCAGCATCTCCTCAAAGCCCCCCACCACCTGTCCCCATTCTACACACTGGGATATCCAGCAGTGAGGCCAGGCTTTGCCCCATCCGTGCTGGGACCTGGGCAAAGTGTCCCCACGGTCCTCTCCTCTCCCTCCCCACCCTGACAGAAGCAGATGTGCTTCTATATTAAAGCAGATTAAAAGCAGACATCCCAGCGTTCGCTTTATAAAAAGCCCTCGTGCAGCCTGAATTACAAGCTGCTTCTTGGCTTTGCCGGGGAAGCAAAGCTCTCCACCACTGGGCACTTGCTGCTCTGATCCTGAGCATCAAGGGGCTCTTCTGGGTCCTTCCATCGATCACAGCCTTACGCTGGGCTGAGCCCCACTCCCTCCCATCCTGTGTGATCCTTCCCTGGGGGATCCCCACATTTTGGAGCCTGGTTGTGGGCTGGCACGTGAGCCCTTTGCACAGATGTTGAGCAGATGCTGAGCCCCAGGACGCAGCAAGGGGAGGAAGGGGTTTGTGCGTGGGGGGGGGGTCACCACAGCCCCCAGCACACAGGGGAAACGATGGCTGGAGAAAGCAGGAGGGCATCCGTCCATCACCACCACCTCCTGTCCTGGTGGCTTGAGGCCAGGAGCCCCCAGAAATAGTTTGGGAGAGGAAGGAGGTGTTTGCAGTGCACCCTGATCCAGCTCAGATCTCAGACCTCAGCAAAAGATCTCTGACGGCGATTTAAGCCCAGGGTTTATTTGATACACATCAAGGAAGCTTCATTCTTTCATCACCCCTACGCTCCCAAAGCCAGTATCTCTGATCGAGGGGGGCTGGAGGACCTGCAGCCCTCCCCAAGCAGCCCCTCTGCCATCGTGCAGGGCCGTATTTGTGCCACCATAAGCACCCTGTGCCGCCACCGCCAGCCCCGTGCGACGGCCGCACGCTCCGAAGCCAATTAAGCATTAGGAAGATAAAAGCTCCCTGCTAATCTACCCGGACTAGAAGATGCTTTCTGTCGGAATTGAGGGTTTTATGGGAATTATTAAATGTGTGGATTAGCACGCTGGGAATTAAGGGGATTCCTCTCTCAACAATTTACGTAAGAGCCTCAGCAGGCGCAGCCCAGGGGCCAACAGGCTCCGCGGGGCGCAAACGGCGGCGGCGAGCAGAACCCCCCCAGGATGGGGGCAGTGGGATGCTTGGTGCCCCCCGTTATGAAACCTCTCCGTGGAGCATCACGCGCTTGCGCGCCTGCCTCGGACCCATGCGGCCGAGAGCCCACAGGGATGCAGAACAGCAGGGAAACGGCGCAGCAACACCACTGCCCAACCCGCGGGACGAGGGCACGATGCCCGGGCACTCACCTGGCGCGAAGCCGAGCAGCGCCAGCAGCAGCGCGGGCAGCCGGGCTGCTCTCCTGGCCAAGTCCCCCTCCATTCCTGCTCTGTGCTGCTCTGGTGGGCAGAGTCAGCGGCGGCAGAGATGGGGAGGAGGAGCAAAGCTGTCGCTCGCTGCAATCCGTAGGCAGCCGAGCGTCGTGGAGAGCTGTGCGCCTCTTAATTAGCTCGTGGGAAACGAGAGGGCGTGCGGGACCTGCACTGCGCAGGGAGGGGGGAAGCGTGGTTGAGACCCCTGGGCTCTCAGCATCCTTGATACCCCAATCAATGAGCAATGCTCCAATTAACAAGCCGTGACCCAATTAATGCTGGTGGCACTCAGTGCATCTCTGCCCCTGGCCCCTTCCAAAGGGCAGCTCTGCAATATTCACAGAACCACAGCAGGAAGCCTAAATTGACCCCGAAACCCCCCCTATCCCCAACTTCTGCCTCTTTTCATTCAAAGTCATTCTTTCTCATCCAATCACTATCAGGTCGTGTCCAAAGTTGCTCCCGTTCCTGTTTATGAGCTCCCTTCAACCCTTTTTCCTGGGCACACCCCACACCCAGCTGGGCTGAGCTTCTCTGGGTGAAGAAATCAGCACGGGAGGGGATGCAGAGTAGGAACCCTCCCCCCCAACCCATCACAGCCCCACATTGGGTGTCAGCCATCAGCACCTCAGCCACCGCATTTATTTCAAGCCTCCAACCAGCCAAGGACAAAAAGAGAAACGGCCTCAACACCACGTCTGTCTTTCGGCTAAGCTGAGCCTTAGGGAAGGCTGCTGGCTGCCCTCCACCTCCAGCAAAATAATGAATGTGCCCCCAAAGGAATGTTAATGCCAGACCTGCTCCCGGGGCACCTTCAGATGAGGATGCTCAAGGTGCTGGGCAGCAGGATCGCTCATGGCCTCATGGCTGCCTCCCAGGTTCAAGGCTCAGCCAGGGCTGTCCCATCCCTCAGTTCCTCCCACGTCCCTTGCAGCTAAGCAGGATGCAAAAACTGCTGAGCAGCAATTTTCAGCTGATGGGGGAGAGCAGCTCGCCCCATGACAGCCGAGGAAAAAAAGAGGTTGAAGGCACCAGGCTGCACAGCACAGCCAGGATGCAATCCTACAAGCATCAGGTATGTGGATACAGCCAGAGCTCAGCAGCCTCACACCACAACCCATGCATTTGAGTCCAACATGGCCACATCCAGCTCAGGGAGCTCGGGGCCAGCACTGTTGATGTGCCAGGCTGCACCCTGAGCACCCAAACCCTCCTGCACTGTCCCCATGTGCACAGAGCCCGGGGCTGCCGCAGGCAGGAGACGCCTGTCAGAGGCAGGGAAGTCACACAGCTCTCTGGGAACTCGGCTCAACGTGACCGCAATCAGTCACTTCACCCACAGGGAGGGAGTGGAAAAGCACTGAAGCTCTTCTCAAAGCTGGGAACAGTGCACTTGCACCAGCAAGGGGGCCACGTGAGCTTCAAATTAGTTAATTTTTTGTGATCTCCAGCTATCACTTTGCAGCTGGTCAGGGTGAAGGACTGCTCCCCCACCAACACCAACCACAGTTTGATCTGCTCCTCAGCCAGAGCCATTGGTTCAGACCTGGGGCTGAGCCTGGGGGAAGCCACTTCCCATCCTCCTCATCACTGCAGCTGCAGTGATGGCGACAATGCCTGCTCAAAGCAGGGACTCAGGGCAGTTCCAGGCACCCAGAACAGTGTCCTCAGGGGACCCTCAGTGTCCTCACTGTCCCTCCACACCGCCACCAGTACAGAGTCTATGTTTAGGGGATACTGAAGTCACTGTGCACACCCAGGCTGTGCCTGCAGGATTCCGAGCACTGCACAACAACTGCCCTTCTGGGCTTGGGGCTTTCTCCCAGGTGAAGCCTTCTCTTGAGCAGGATCAACTGTGAGGTTGTGGCTTTCCAGCAGAGGGGAGTGCAGCCTCAGGAATGGCCATACCTCTGCCAATATCCACGCAGTCAGGCAGGAGAAGAAAACAGGTCATTTGGGGGGAGGATTTCGCAGGTGATACCACATCACAGGAGCCAGATCCCAGAGCCATCCTCATGCTCCCACTTCAGCCCATAGCACAAGGGCAAATCAGGTCAGCGATGAGAGGCACCGCATGCAGCAAAACGGTCCCAGAAAACCCTGCATGAGGAGCTGAAGGGTTTAATCACTGCCAGCCTCACTGAGTCGCAGACCTGATTTCCACACGTGGCTGCAGTGAAAGCTCCATTAGCGCTCACTGAGTGCAGGCGTGCTGCTGGGGACAGATCCTGATCTGTGCCTCCTGTGGCCACTCAGGTCAGCTCCAAGGAGGCAAAACCTCATCTGAAAACCAAAAAGGGGCACAGCTCTGCATCTCTAATTAACAACAACAAAATTGTATCTGCAGGTAACGATTCGAACTCCTGGCCTCTGTGGGGAGGAAGCACACACAAGCACAGGCCCAAATATATAAATTTTGCTCCTCAAAAAGAAGCTGGGACACTGTCGAAATACAACAGGCTGCTGCATGCACATCCAGCAAAATAGGCCACGGCTCGACACAAAGTGCTGCCTGAGGCCACGCACGGAAGGGAAGCGGTGTTTCATTATTTATCACTATCAGGAACAGAGATCCACCTCCACACACAGCTCCCTCCCGGGGCCAGGCCTCAGTAACACCATTCGGCACTTTGCAGCACGGCCCAACTCGACCTCATCACCCCACGGCAGAGACCTGGGGGGGTCCCCAGCGCCCCCCACACCTCACCCTCACCCAGCACACGGTCTCCTCGGAATTCCCCCTCCTCGTTAGCCCCAGCTTCGACCCTCAGCAGCCCTCCTGCCCCGTTGCCCCCACTCATGCCCAGGCCCAGAACCAGGCCTCGGGACTGTCACCATACCCCGCCACCACCACCCCCCCCCCGGCCTGCCGCCGGGCGCGCACTGATGACGCACAAAGCCCGCGCCGCCACTGCGCCTCTCTTTCGCGCTCTCAAGGCGATGCCCACTTAGTCTCGCGGGATTTCCGACGCTATAAATAGCCCCACGGTGAGGGGCTGCGCTCAGTGCCCGCCCAGTTGAGGGCGGGGTGGGAGGGTTGGTCTGTGCTCTGTGCGAGGCGCCCCTGCGGAGGACTGAGGCCCGCAAGGGTCGGGTCTGGTGGCTCTGTGTCATTTGTCACCCTTTCATTGCTGTCCCCTGCTTTGCCACCTGAAGGGTCCCCCTCACTGAGGAGCCGTTGTGCACATTGCTGTCCCCCTTATCTGTCCTCCTGTGGTGCCAGCCTGGATCTGCAGGCCTTGGGCTTATTTCAGAGAGCGCTGGTGGTGCTGTCTCTGTTTTAAACGTACAAAAACAAAACAAAACGAAAAAAAAAAACCCCACAACAAAACAGAAAAACCCAAATTTGGCTCAAGGCAGCTGTGCTCAGCCCGGCTGCTGTGTGGAGGCGTCCCCAGCCCTCCTGTCAGTGCTCTCCAACAACCTGCTGATTTATTAGGAGCGAAATCAGATTAGATTTTATCACCGGGTTGGGTGGCAAAGGGCAGGAAGATTAAATTCCAGGATGACAGTGGAGAGGGCAGGGGTGGAAAGTCCATCTCTGTGCTCCTACAGCATGCTATCCTTGGGCTCTGGGACGCAAATGATGATTTTCACGTGAGATCTTCACTTTTTTGCCCCACTGTGGTTTTCAGGGCAGCTGGGAGTGTGATTCAAGCCCCGATGAGGGCTGTGGGGCTGCTGCTCTGCCAGGAACCCGTATTTGGAGAACTCCAGTTCCTAAGGCTGCCCCTGACTGCTGCCAGCCCACATCCTGGTCCTTCATGTCCCCAGGGCATGGGACAGGGGACTGGGACAACCCCTGGGCTTTGCTGGGTTGCAGTGAGCAGAACTGAGGTCAGTTTCTCCCCACCCCGTTGTGTTTCCCCAAAATGCGGGTGTTCCCTCTTTGCAGTGCAGCAGGAATGAAGGCAAAGTGAAACATCGCCCTCCCCTGCTCCTCGTGAGGCTGAGCTGCGCTGTGGCCGCGGGGAGGAAGAGAGAAGAGAGGGATTTCTGTGGAGCTGAGGAGGTGGTGAGCTCGCTCCATCCCGGGGAATAAATGAGAATCCATCTCAGCATAAATGAGCTGCACTGCGAGGAGGGAGGGCTGCGTCCTGGGGAAATGCGGCTGCCTCCTTAGCGAGGTGGAAGCACCCGCAGGGCCTGAATTTTGGAGCCAATCTCATCTCCAGGTGTGAATTCACAGCACTGGGTGATGGCCAGGGGAAAGCTGCCCACGCTGCGCTCCTCATCACAGCCTTTGAGTTAAAGGGGTTATGGACAGCGAAGAAACTTAATGCCTCCCCCTCCCTTCTTCTCCATCTCTCGGTGCATCCATCCCAAGCTTCCATCCATCCACCAACCGCACTCTCCACGCTCCAGCAAAAGCCATTAAGAATGACAAAGCACCTTTTTGTTTTAAAGATGGGTCCCGGGAGCAGCAGGCAAATTGCCTGGTTCATGCATAATAAACCAGGCGTGGAAACACACAAAGTAATAGGCTACATTTGTAGGGAAACAAAATCATTAAGCGAGAGCCTGTTTGCAGGCTTGTCTGCGGGAAATAAAACACAGTGAAGATGGGTGTGGAGGGGCTGCCAGCTTGCCCAGCCCCACTTGGCACCAGCTCCTGCCAAAAGCTTTGGCAAAAAATGGGTCAGCACCAGCACGCCCCATCCCTGTGTCCTCCTGGTCCCCACCAACACCCACCTCCCCATCAGCAGAGCCCCCAGCACCACCTTGAGCTGCTCCTGCAGAACAAAGGCAAACTGCTGCCCCGTTGTTTCTTTTTTTTTTTTTTTTTTTTTTTTTAACATTTATATTTATATATATATAAAA